TGTTGTCCTTATTCATTGTCCAGCTCTCAGAAGCAATTGAGAAGACCATAGCCTGCATCAGGCACACCTTAGTCTCTAGACTAACATTGTTGCTGCGGGGAAGGGGTCTCTCTTCTTTCTCTATAAAATTGATGATTACTTTTTTTGGGGTTTTTTTTTTAAAGAATATGATCAATATTGATTGCATTAAGTCTATAGGTTGATTTTGGTAATATTGACATTTTCACAGTATTAAGTCTTCCAATCCATGAGCATGATCTCTTTTGGTTCTTATAGTAGTGTTTTGTAGTTTCCTTTATATAGGTTTGTAAGATATGTTCCAGTTTTACTTCATCGACCATGACTGAACTGGTTCAAGCAAGTTTTAAGCCTTTCAGTCTTGCCTTACACTCAACATCTCCACACCCAAACACATTAATTCTCTTCATCTTACTGTTCATATATTACCAGATATCAAGATCTGTTTCCCCCTTCTGTATATCTCTTTTTAAAAAAATTTTTTTGGCATTTCTTTTTTTTTTACCTTTTTGTTAAATTTATTATTAATTTCAGTAAAAATTTACAGAGACTTTGGATTTCCATTCATTCATTGTTGCACTTTTCTCCCTCCCAGCCCTCCCCCCTAGGACACTACCCACTTAGAAAAGTAAAAGAAAAATTATTTCATTGTTTTACAAACCCTCCCCCAGGTCCACTCCACCATGTAGCCTTCACTCTAGTCTCCTGTCATGACAAAAATACCTAATCACATATCCCTTTTAAACAGTTTTCTTCCTCATCTGTTTCAATGCAGTATACATTATTAAACCCATCTTTCTCAGTCTCTCCCCAACCCCAAGGTCAGTCCTTTTATACAACAGTGGCACCATGCAGTATTTATCTTTTTGTGGCAGATACTTCACTCAGCATAATGTCCTCCAGAGTCACCCATTTTGAATAATATTGCATGAGTTCCTTGTTTTTGAGTGCAGCATAGTATTTCATTGTGTGAATATACCACAGCTTCTCTATCCATCCATTCATTTGTTGATGGGTACTTAGGTTGTTTCCAACTCCTTGTTATTGTGAACAAAGCTGTGATAAGCATGGGTGTGCATATATCTGCTTGGATGTCAGTTATGGTCTCTTTAGGGTATATTCCCAGTAGTGGAATTGCTGGGTCAAATGGTATCTCTATTTGCAAATTTTTGAGAAAGCACCACACCATTTTCCACAGTGGTTGCACCATTTTACACTTCCACCGTCAGTGAATAAGGGTTCCAGTTTCTCCACAACCTCG